ATAGAATAAAAACTAGAATAGAAATTAGAATAGGAAATAGAATAGAAAAAAGAATAGAAAATAGAATAGAAAATAGAATAGAAAATGGAATAGGAAATAGAATAGAAAATAAATAGAATAGAAAATAGAATAAAAACTAGAATAGAAATTAGAATAGGAAATAGAATAGAAAATAGAATAGAAAATAGAATAGAAAATAGAATAGAAAATAGAATAGAAAGAATAGAAAATAGAATAGAATAGAAAATATAACAGAAAATAGAATAGAATAGAAAATAGAATAAAAACTAGAATAGAAATTAGAATAGGAAAGAATAGAAAATAAAATAGAAAATAGTACAGGGAGGGGAGGGGAGGGGAGGGAATGGAATGGAAGGGAAGAGAATCTATTGAGAATGGAATGGAAGGGGAGGGGAGGGGAGAGAAGAGGAAAAGGAAGGATGGAGAAGAGGAAAGAAGAGAAGAGAAGGGAATTCTTTATTGGCCAAGTGTGATTGGACACACCAGGAATTTGTCCCCTTTCCAGAAGCAATCAGTGCACATGCAAACAACAGAGTAATTGGTCATACATCATAAATCTGAGTTGTAACCATTAATCATAACATGCAAACAAGTAGTAATAAATCATAGGATGGCAATAGAAAAAGAATGTAGAGAAGATGAGAAGGATAATAGCAACACAGCCTACTACATGGGTAAATATCTTTAGGCCTGAGACAGCGCTGTGGGTATTAGATATTCGACAGAGTGACAATACAGGAGAAAAACTTGCTTGGTGATGCCACACTTCGGATACTCGAGATGAAGTGAAATATCTCCCGTAGGAATTTACAACCCCTTCTGAAGCCGTATTTTACAAGGCAATAAATATTTCAGATATGGGCTCTGTGTTTGCCTGCATCTGTGTTTCAGAGATTGGCCCACCAGGTGAGAATCAGATCCTATGTGCCTCTTAGTCTCCTGATTTCCCCAGGATTAACGATTTCAGTCGTTAGCCGCCTTTAAATGAAATAAGTTTATTAAGGGCGCAGAAAGAGTCCAGGTTTTCCCATCGATATCTTAACGGGGGATATCTTTGGAGCTGTTTTTGAAAGGAGTGTACCATGGTTGGATAAACCTGGCTTAAAACGGGGATTGCTGTGCTCTCTGCAAAATCATCTGGTTTAGTTTTGCTGCCTTCATCTCTTCGGGACGGTTTAGGTCCTACTGGACCTTCCAGGGGCAAAAGTGCCATCGGCGGACTCGGACTGTCGAGTCCGCACAATGTATCGTCGCGACGTTGGCTCCTCCTCTCGGGACTCCCAAGCATACTGTTAAGGGGTCTTTGGCCTGCAGACGAGTAACAAACCACTAAATTTAAGAGTCGGGTAGTCTAAAAAACCAAGGAGAAATTTCCTGACAGTGAGAACAATTAATCACTTGCCTCCAGAAGTTTTACATGCTCCAACACTGGAAGTTTCTAAAAAGAGATTGGACAACGCTTTGTCTGAAGTGGTGTTGGGTTTCCTGCCTAAGCAGGGGGTTGGGCTAGAAGACCTCCAAGGTCCCCTTCCAACTCTGTTATTCTATTCTACTCTACCCTACGTCGCCTTGAACTGATTTACTTTTGGATGCTATTTCGAGCCCTGAGACACATTGTTCAATAGGAGAAGCCCTTCTGCATGTCTGAAATGGTCACTCCCGCAATGTAAAAACCCAAGGAATGTGGTGTTTTGGTGATATGTACTTGATCCTTTTGGCCTTCTCTTCTAGGGCACGGCTTCCGTCCTTCAGCGTAGGTCCGACAAAGAGGAATATGTAGAGGTTGGACGCCTGGGGCCATCCGATTATTTTGGTAAGCTCCGTGGAATGGAACGGTTCAGAAACACCGATGAATGTCAGCGTTGGCATTTATGGGAGAATTGGGTGTGTCTATGCATGGCGTTCACAAATGCACTTATCGGCGATTGCTGGAATTGTAGAGTAGCACATCCCTTGTTGGGCAGAGGTAGTATCCAGCCGGTTCTCTCCGTTTCGGGGGAACCGGAAGCGGTGGCTGTGGGAGGCTCCGCCCCCCCCGCCCCAATGTAATGTATGACCGCCGCGCATGCGCAGACGAGGCCCACGTGCTCCGATTTGCAAACCGGTAGAGCAGGTAAGTGAATCCCACCTGTGGTATAGGGGGTCTTCTGATCCCCTCTTGGATCCAGAGAGCTTTCAATCACCTTTCCAAGTCATTATGGAGGTTGGGGGGCGGGGGGGGGGATAGATGTGTCCTATCCCAACCACAGCAGTTGGGAATTATGGGAAATTTCATCCACCTCACTTGCAGAACTCCATATTCGTGTTAGATATCAAGGGCAACATCTAAGGTAAAAGTTTTAGACTGTGTACAAGGCATTCTTTGATCTGCTACGATGTCCTCTGATGAGGAGAAATGTTAATAAGGAAGCAATGAATAGCTTAGAGGAGAAAATTGAGGAGAAGACCTCAGCACGGACGGCTGAGAAGAAATCAGACTATTGGCTCAGAAAGGAAAAGGGGGATAGGTGAGAGGTCACCAACTTGTGGTCCGTGGACCACTGGTGGTCCGTGGGGAAATTTTGGTGGTCTACAAGATAAAATATTTGCACTTTTTATATTGCACTAAATCCGGGGTCCTCAAACTACGGCCCCTGGGATGGATACGTGCAATGAACGCTTGTGTTGCTGCAGAGAGTCTCCCCCTTCGGGGTCTTTTGTGCGGGTCGGAGGGGGCAGAAATTCTGACTTGGGGTCTGCTTCAGCCTCCTGGTGGGGGGCTTTGGGCGAAGGCTGAAGGGAAGAGCCGCTGGTGGGGAAGAGCCACAGGGCCTTGTTCCAGTGGGACTGCATCATGGCCTGGAACTGGCTGACCATCTCAGTCCGCTGAACCTCCAGGCGCCGGCACCTGGCCTTGCCACTCCCACAGGTCTTCCCTCTGCCTATGCTCCTAGTCCTCAGTGAGGTGCTTCTGCTGAGCCTCCTTCTCAGCCAGATCCCATTTGAACTGAGCCAATTATTTTGCCAACTCTTTCTCCTGGTGGCTGCTTAGCTCCAGCAACTGCTTCCTGGTGGGGCCCTAAGGAGCCTGGGCGGGCAGGCGAGGAGGGGCTGGGAGGGGAGGGGCAAGTAGAGGCTGGCAAGGCGCCCTTCGACGTGAGTGGCATCGAGTTGGCCACGCCCACCCAGTCACATGACTAACTAGCCACGCCCGCCCTCCCTTTCCTTAGTCAGATCGTATTAGTGGTCTGCGGGATTTAAAATTATGAATTGAGCGGCCCCTGTGGTCCAAAAGTTTGGGGATCCCTGAAATAGGGGTCAAGATAATAGGAATTTCAAGATAAGCGATCCTTCTCAAATTGTTCCATTCGTTCTTCCGTAGTGTATTTTAAGGATGGTGTCCGGGTATCCTGCTCAGTTTTGCCAAATAGGGCGGAATAATTGCCTGCTAAATTCCCGATCTGGAAATCGCTAATGATAGGAGCCCGAGATCAAAGCGTGTTCTCCAGATGGGTACGAAGATGGTGACGCTACGTTTTCTTCCCACTTCCCCAGGGGAGATCGCCCTCCTGCTCAACAGGCCCAGGGCCGCTACGGTGGTGGCCCGCGGCCCCTTGAAGTGCGTGAAGCTGGACCGCCCCCGCTTCGAACGCGTCCTGGGCCCTTGCTCCGAAATCCTCAAGAGGAACATCCAGAGATACAACAGTTTCATCTCTCTCACGGTCTAGAGCCCTCTTTGGCTCATCCTTTTACGTTTAAACTTGTGCACTTAAAAAAAAAACAGGAAAGAAAGAAAGCGATCTGTGGTGGTTCGTAGCTTTACGAAGGAAAGCAGAGGCACATTTATTTTACGCAGATGTTTTTCAGTGTTGACGTCCCGTGCATTAGATGTTCAATCGCTGTGTATTGTTAAGAAGACAGCAGGTAGCTGGTTGTCAGTGATTTTATGGAAAACGTTAGATTTTATCGTTCTGCACTTTGAGTTAAACTCCAGATTTATGCCTCCCTGATTTCTCCAAACTTCCCACCACCCGATGTAACATTTCCAGATCTTTTCACTGTGCAGTGCAGAAACCACTTTCCTGTGTGCCTCAATTTTTATTTCTCCTGACAAACTACGTCCAACTCTCACTTCTCTAGAACAACGTAGGGTACTCATTCATGTGGAACATTCTCATCTAGCGAGACTACATAACCCATGTGATGATTGGGCATTGATGGCCCCATGGCCCCAGGTAGCATTGCAGAACTAGCCCATTAAGATTTCCAGACATTGCCCCAAATAGGTGACCGAAGGTGGCTCAGTGGCTAAGACCCTGAGCTTGTCGATCAGAAAGGTCGGCGGTTCGGCGGTTCGAATCCCTAGCGCCGCATAACGGAGTGAGCTCCCGTGACTTGTCCCAGCTTCTGCCAACCGAGCAGTTCGAAAACATGTAAAAAAATGCAAGTGGCAAAATAGGAGCCACCTTTGGTGGGAAGGGAACAGCGTTCCGTGTGTTGAGTCATGCCGGCCACAT